GTACAAAAGGCAGTGCTTATTTTGAGTATCTGTGCAAGAGGATGCTTTTGAGAAATCATCTGAAAAGTATAGGGGCCTTCCTTCTACCATTAGAGGTGCAGATACATAGTTAGTTTGGAAAAGAGTTTTATTTGTAAAAGAGTAAAACTATCTTATTATACATTGATACATTTATGTTGATAGGCACAGTAGATAGATTTCTGAAAAGCTCTAATTTTATTTTAAGTGCAGTAGGAAAGAAAATTTCTTAAAAGGAATCTGTGGTGAATCTTTTTGGAAGCAGAATCACCCCCTAATTTATCTTTTTCATGTTTTTAATTTTTGCATATCAAGTTTTCAACACAACTGCGTATGCTTTATTTACAGGTGTGGCAGGCATACCCTTGCATAAATACTAAGTTTCATTATATTGTGGAGTATTTTCTCAGGCTTACAGGAAACCAAGTCACCTGTCAGACTACCAGGAGATAATATCTGAAAATGTGTTTATTTGCCCAGAAACTATGCATATCTTTTTAAATAGAATTTTCATTTATATTCAGTAGCTATCATATATATCCTAGATATACATTAAATTCCATGTATCTGTGCTGTCCTTAATTATATTTGCTCAGCATCTCACTCTCATGGGAGTTAAATGGGTGGTTAAGGGTAAAACGTATACTCCTTTAACACAGTTGTAATATGTGTAAGGAAGGAAATGAGTGGGTAGAGCACGAGAATTGAGTATTGAGAGTGCTGTTTTTTACTACCTGAGAGCAGTTTTTAAAATAATATTATGTCTTAATTCCCAACTGTGAAGCAACATGCAGGCATAGTAGATTCAGTTTCATGTTAGAAAACCAAACTACAGAAGGTGTCCAGAGTACATTACAGAACTAGCTAATCTTAGATTTTAGAGGGACCTTATTTAGCTCAACCACCTACCTAGTCCAAGAAATCTTTCTAACATAATTCCTGGCAGGTGGTTATCTAGCTCAAATACTTCCATTGACAGGAAGTTTGAAGCTTAATGCATTTAAAAATAATAATTAATTCCATTGTTGGACAGTACTGTATAGGAATTTTTTAAATCCCATTTTGGACATATGTAATTACGTTTTTGCTTATTATCTGATAATATTTGCTAGAGAAAATTATTATTAAAGTTTTAAGAGCACACTATTCCCCTTCTGACAGAGAGGTGATAAACTCAAATTGCAGAATGAAACATGCTTTTTCAGACACAATCAGTATTGGAGTTTATTCTGTTTTTCTGTACGGGTTTGTTACAGAGGTTTTATTTTTCTTTTTTTCCCCTCAGTTTGGGGGAGGAGGGAGTACAAAAGAAGAGGGAAGGAGGAAGCTATGGTTAGGGTTGTTATAACAGAAAGGAATGTAATGGTCATTGACATTTGTTTTTGAAATGCACAGGGGAAAAAATAAACAGAATAAGACCAGAAGGAATCACAAACTGAGGTGGGGAGAGCCCAGAGAGGAATGAAGGCATGAGTGTGGTTGGCTTGAGTGCTTCCTTAGAATGGGGGTTCCGGGAAGATCTTATCCATCAAAGAAGGAGGCCTCAGAAGCCAAGGCATTTTCCAGGGTGAGAAGACTACAAGGGAAGAAGCATCTTACAAGGAAAGAAGGTTATTGTTGGGGATGTTAGGGATGACTCTGGAGAATCAAGATGGGAAGTGGGAGAGGAAGGAAAGATGAGTGAGCATAGGTGGCTTATGTACTTCCTCAAAATGGAGGTTCCAGGAAGAAATTTATTTATAGAAGTGCTATTTCAGTTGATGTTCAATTTTGAAATGTAAGAAATGGAAACAAATGAATTGAAAAGTGGCAGGAGAAAATAATAGCTAACATTTACATAGCACTTAAAATTTTACAAAGCACTATACATGCATTATCTCATTTTATTCTCACAACAGCTGTGAAGTAGATGCTATTATATGAGGAAACTGGGCCCTGGAGAAGTTAAGTGGCTTGCCTAGGGTTTCACAGTTCGTGTGCAATGCAGGATTCCTGGTTCCAAATCCAGCACTCTGTCCACTGTACCACATAGAGAAGAAAGAATGATGAACTCTTAAGTTTTCTCAGAGTTTTGTTTTTAAAATATTTTTCGCATCCTCCAGTGTCTGCTTCCTGTCTAGAACACCAAGGGTATGTTAAATCATAGAATCAAAAATTTATGACTAAAAAAGGGGAAGAACTCTTAGAATTCACAGAGTTTGTGACTTACCCAAGATCACACAGGTTTGAACATAGAGTTTGAATACAAGAATAAGGAACTTGAAAAGCCAGGTTAGGGCCAAATCAAGGAGGGCCTTTAGTGCCAGAGTAAGGAAGGAGCTTTGATAGTTGAAAAAAACTTTACCTGGAAAGTAGGGAAACGACCTGATCAAAATTCCAATTTATGTTAATCTTTTATTCAACAATTCTTCAAGTTCTTTCAGTGTTCAGGTCTTTCCCTAATGCAGTTTTACCATCTTAAAGTTCCTTTGAAAGAGAACCTGTGTCACATTTTAAGACATATGATGTGAATAAGACATGTGATATGAATATCACATCATAAAGCGTATCCTTATAAAAGTCATATGTTCAACTATTTTTAAATGAAATAAAACCTTTTACTAAAAATTTTCAGCCCACTGTCTTTATTATAAATTTTTAGCACCATGGTAGGGCACAGGAAATTTATAATGTGTGTTGTATTATAAAATGTACCTTCACAATAATAATAATAATAGTACCTAACATTTATATTGCACTTAGTATGTGTGAGACACTGTGCTAAGTGGTTTTACAATTATTGTCACATTTGATCCTCACAACACTGGAGAGAAGGTGCTATTATTTCCATCTTACAGCTGAGGAAACTGAGGCTGACTTGCCCAGGGTCACACAACTAGTAAGCATCTAAGGCGAGATTTAGGTCTTCCGGACTCCTGGCCTGTTCTTCAATCCATTATACTACTTAGCTACTTGCATAATAGCCCTTTACAAGAGTAAAAAAAAAAGTCAAGTTTATTCTGTAATTTTGTCATATCCCATTGTCTGAAAACAGAACTTTATAATTGTTGACTTTATCTCTGAAGATCTGGGCAATAGTACAGTTATGTTATAGATAATTGAACTGTTTTTTTTTCTTCTAGCATATCTTCTGAATTACAAAAGAAGTCATTGGAACCATTAGCCTATTTGGGCCAGGTGGATTATTAGAAGAGCTTGCCTGGAATAAAATAAATAGATTTAACTTATATTTTTAACGAAACTTTTAGCAAAGTCTCATTCTGTTCTTGTGTTCAAGATGGAGAAGGAAGGGTTGGGCAGTGATACAGTTAGGTAGATTTGATGCTAATTGAATGACTGGTCTCAGGGAGTAATCATTAGTAGTTTGATGTCAACTTGGAAGGCAGTAGTATCTACTGGACTGTTTCAGGGATCTTGCTTGGCCCTTTGCTCTTTCATATTTTTATTAGTGACCTTAATAAATTATAGATTACATGCTTATTAAATTTGCCAGTGATACACGGTTAGGAAGGAGGGTGACAATTAATATCCAAAAACCTTGACAGCCTAAAATGTTAGTCCATCTCTAATAAAATAAAATTTAATAGGAATTTATATAAATAACATCCAAATTTGGTTTTTAAAAATCAGCTTTACAAATCTAAGATGGCTAGACAGCAATTTCCTAGAAAAGAGTACTGGTTTGAAGTTGGAAAGAGGAAGTTAGATTTGATGAAAGGAGAAACCATAGCAATAGGAAAGTGGAACAGGCCATCTGTAGGGAGGGCAGTAGTTGATTCTGTCACACTCAAGGTCTTCAAAGTGTTGGCATGTTGTAAAGGTTGGAGGTTAAACTAGAGGATTTCTCAGGTCCCTTCCAACTCTGAGATTCTGTGATTTTAAGTCCTAGGTATTAACAGCCTTATTGTAATGTGTGATAGTATCATTAGAAGGGAACATGTCCCTCTTTCAAAGACTGTTCTTTTTATTTTTCAGTGACTAATTCAATTTCATTTTGATTTAAACACCTGCCAAATTTAGTAGAGAATCAAATAACGTATAGTTACTGTTTTATCCAGAGGAAACTGCTGAAATGTCAATTCCATTCATTTTGCAAAAGTGATTGAGTACCTACTGTGTGCCAGGCACTGTGATAGGTTCCTAGTAGTATGCAAAGATGAAAAAGTTGCAGTTCCTACACTGAAGGAGTTTACAGTCTAGTAGCAGAGGAGAAATATGCACACTAATAAATTTAATGTAAAGTAAAATGTAATACATACAGAAGTGAGGTTCAAAGTGTTATAAAAGGGGAGAGGAGGGAGAAGAGTATGTCTGGTTAAGGGTTCGGAGAACACTTTATGACTTCCTGCATTTGAGTCAACTCCATGAATAATGGTTACAATTTTATCCAAAAGAGATGGGAATGGGTAAGATTCCAAGGCATAGGGAACAGTGCCAGCAAAGACACAAAGGCATATAATATGGTGGATGTTTTAAAGATTGACAAGTTATTTTAGTTGATTTTAGGGTAGGGTATAGGAAAGGAAGTAGTATTATAAGAAGGTTGGAGTGTGTTTATAGAGGGCCTTGAATTTGATCCTAAAGAGTTTGGGTTAATCTGAAGCAGAATCATAATAACTATAACAATATCTTACATGTGTAAAATGCTTTAAAGTTTTCAAAATGCTTTGTGTACATTATTTCATTTGACTAATGTTTTAATAATATATTAAAGGATTTTTTATTCATGATATTTTACAGTGAGCAAACTAAAAATGTCTTTGTTAAATGTGCTTTTTTCTGAATAACTTTTCAGAACCATTGCATTCACTTCTTCTATAAACTTGACTTGATGACTTTTGAATGGAAACTTATAGCAGAAATAAATTCACAGCCTAATTGCAAAATTTTCATTTAATTTAGGGAATATTAATTAGGAAAGTTTCTCTCACATGATTTTATCATATAGTAAAATCAGTTTTTTGGGTTTTTTTCCCCTTAAGGAATAAAGATTATTGTAAATCCAGTCTCAAAGGCTATATTAGCAGGACAATACGTCAAGCTTTGTTGCCGGGCAACTGGACATCCTTTTGTGCAGTATCAGTGGTTCAAAATGAAAAAAGAGGTAATAACTTTTAAAATTTATGTAAGTTCAAGCAGATAGATAAGAAAATTAGGAAAAATAAATTTGGGTCTTGAATATGTTTTGGGGAATTTCTTTTAAGGTACTCATAAAAGTTGTATTAACTCTGCAGTTTATTTCATTAGATATTATTCTAGCACCACTTAGCGCAGTTGGAGTTCTTTGGTCCATTTCCTATATAGTCTGGTGCCCCTGACTTTTTGCCTCTTTTACATAATGGAATGTTTTGGGTTAAGTTAATAAAAATGTAATATTCCAAATTCAGAGCCTCTCTCACTGAGTTTTTCTTAAAACCTTGGTTCTTTTATGTTAACTCTAACAATAGATGTGCTGTTGAAAAGACTTGTTTCTTTATAGTTACTTAACTCATACAGATATTTTACACAAAACAACAGATGAGCAGTTTCTAATCCCTGTAAAATGTGAGTAATTGAGCTATTTTTAAAAATTGTAGTATAGTCAATTTTCTGTTATATAACATAATGGATAAGCACTTTTGTGATGGAATAAGCTATGCAGAGCTGTCCATCCCAGAAGCGGAGCGAATAGTGAAGTAGCAAGATAGTGATACAGGTTAAATGAGGGCATTCTGGTTGATCAGTCCCTTTCCTCCTACCCACTTTGTTTACCCCTGTTTAATTGCTTATATTTCACAAAGGCCAAAATTGAAGTCTACCTTTATGATTAATAAACAATAAAGTAGGAGGATGATATGAGTACTAACAATATTTGAAGAGAAAACAAACAGGAAAGTCATAAGAAGTTAAGGGAGTAGATGGCCATTGATTGGGGAATGACTAAACGTGTTGTGGTAAATGAATGAAATGAAATATTATGATACTGAAGAAATGAGAATTATGAAGCAGAGAAGCAGAGGAAGATATATAACTAATACAAAGTGAAATAAACAGAACCAGGAAAAAAATAGTCATGAATTTTAGTGGTTGAGTGTGGCCCCGAAGAGGCAACTTCTTTTTTTCTTCCCCAGAGGTAGGAGACTATGGGTGTGAAATGCTACAGGCTTTTAAAATGTGTTGTTTAGATTGGTTAAATTATTTTCTTTCCTTTTTAGTCTTTGTTATAAAAGACTCTCTGGGAAGAGGAGAGAGAGGGATCCATGAAGAAATTTAAGTGATATAAAATCAGAAGATCCAAATAAAAATAAAATAAGGAAAAGTGAGCTTCTTCATGAAGATTGTCTAGATTTTTAAACATTTTAATTGTAAAAGAATTTTTTTTAAACTAACAGTTGTTCTAGAAGAAGAATCGTACATATTTTTACACATTTCCATAGATCATGAATTGTACATATTATACTTTTTAATTTTTATTTTCTTAAAGGTATTTTTAAAAGAATCATTTCTTTTTTGTTACTGACTTTTAACACAGATTCCACATGGGAATTCACCAGAGCTTATTTTTAATCCAGTGCTTGTAAAGGATTCTGGTTTTTATGTTTGTCGAGTAAATAATAATTCTGCCTTTGAATTCAGCCAGTGGGCACAGCTGGATGTTTGTGAAGTCTCTGAAGGTTCTTGTAGTAAGTGTCAAATTAAATTTCTACTAATTTGGGGGTGGGAAGGAGAATGATTGCTTTTTCTCCTAATACTATTTGTCTTGGGAAGGAATTAATGGTATCACTTAAAATTAATTTAAATTCACCCATTTTCTATTGAAGCTCTTGTTTAATCTAAATCATGATAGTAAAATAAATTTCTGATCATTTGAGACCCTGTGTAGTACTTATTTTTATCCATACCCAGGTGGCTAAGATTTGTGCATTTTATAAAACAAACAAAAGAAAGTTCTTCAGAAATCACTTCTCTCTCACATTAAGATTTAATGGGTTATCAGTTATGTGGTTCATGGAAACTTCAATCCAATAAGCATTTATTAGGTGCCTCCTATGTATAAGACAATATGCTAGGCACTAGAAATACAAAGACAAAACTGAAATCTTTCCTCAAGGAGCCTGCATTTCTAGTGAGGGCAGAAAGGGCAGGACAGGACAAGTACATGGTTAAATAGTTATAAAATATTTTCACAGGAAATGCAAAGTAATTTTGGCGGGGGAGAGTACTGACAACTGGAGGGAATCTAGGAAGGCTACTCATAAGAAGGGCCACTGGAACTGAATCTTGAAGGAAGCTGTTAAGTCTAAGAGGCAAAGTTGAAAAGGGAGCGAGCATTACTGGTACCAGGGGCTGGAGAGAGGCAAGAGAGGGAGTGTCTCATATCAGGAGCTACAATTGGCCAGTATAACATAGAATATATCAAGTCAGACCAGAAAGGAAGGTTGTAGCCAGATTGTGAAGTCCTTTAAATTCCAAACAGAGAAACACTTTTTTTTTTCTAGAAGTGATAGGTTGCTACTGAAGCTCCTTGGGCAAGGCAGAAACATGACTGTATCTGAGCTTTAAGAAAATCAGTTTGATATCCATGGAGGATGGTTTGAAAGAGGAGAATAAGGGAGGCAGGAAGAGTAATTCCTAGTCTTTTATAGTAATCTGGGCAAGAGGTGATTGGACCCTAGATTAGTAGCATGGTAGCTGTATGAATAGAAAGAAGAGGATCAGTCCAAGAGATGTTTTGAAGAAAGAATCATCAGGGTTTGGAAATTGATGGAATATGGGGTAGTGAGAGAGTGAAGATTTCAGGGTGACTTCAAGGTTACAAATCTGAGTGACTGGAAGGATAATGAGGCTTCGACAGAAATAGGGAAATTTAAAAAAGATATAGACTTACGTTTTGAATAGATTGGATTTGAAAATACTATCTAGGTTATTTGAGAATACTAATTCAGCTAGGTGAAGAATCCAGAAGCTAGTGAGGGGAGATTGGAGCTCAAAAGAGATATGGGGATGTGAAATACAGATCTGTACAGAGAGATGATAATTGAATAATGGGAGATTATGTCACTGAAAGAGAACATAAAGCCAGAAGGAAAAAGTATTGAGGTACATCCACACACGAGGATGCGGAACATAGATGTTGATCCAGCAAAGGGAATTAATTGCAAAGGACCACTCAAACATGTAAGGACAAGGACCAGGAGAGAGCAGTGTCACAAAAGCTAAGGAAAAAATAAGTTTTCAAAATGAAGGGGTAGTCAAGAGCACAGAGAAGCCAAGAAGGATGAGGACTAAAAGAAGTTCATTGAATTTTTGAAATAAGAAGGGAAATAGGAAGGAAAGGGGCAAAGGAAACTGGGGGAAATGAGAGGGAAGGTAGATTAAGGGTGGTATTAGTCAAAAACAAAACAGACTCTTAAAGAGGTGGGGAGAAAAAAAAGAAAAGGATAAGAATAAGAATAAGAGAGAAGGAAATACACAGTTAACCATTATAACTGTGAATGGGATGAACTCATCAAAATGGAAGAAAATAGCAGAATGGATTAGAAAGCAGACTCCAGCAATATTTTGTTTATAAGAAGTATACTTGAAACAGAAAGATACATAACAAGTTAAAATAAGGAGCTAAAGCATAATGTGTTATACCCTTTAGCTGAAGCAAAAAAAAAATCAAGGGTAGCAATGATGACCTCAGAGAAAGCAAAAGCAAAAATAGACCCAATTAAAAGAGAGAAACAAAATCCGGCCTCAGACGCATAACACCCATTAGCTGTGTGACTCTGGGCAAGCCACTTAACCCCTACTGCCCTGACCAAAAAAAAAAAAAAAGATAAACAGTGAAACTACATTTTGCTAAAAGGTAGCCTAGACAATTAATAACAGTACTGAGCATATATGTACCAAATGACATAGCAACCAAATTCTTGAAGGGAAAAAATGTGTTATAAAAGGAGAAAAATAAAATGATAATAGTGGGAGACTTCAATTTACTTTAGATTTATTTTAGATAAATTTAACCAAAAAATAAGAAAAATTAAATAGAATTTTACAAAAGTTAAATATGGAGAATATTTAATGGAAATAGAAGGGAGTGTGCCTATTTCTCAGCTCTACAGGCCACATTCACAAGAATTGGCTATGTATCCAAGCATAAAAACCTCACAGACAAATGCAGAGAAGCATTTATCTTGGACCTCGTCTGAGAAAGTTTAGTTACCATAATATCAAAGGGACCATCTCTCAACATAATCTATGTGGATGGTATCCCAGATAGCATCAGTCATTCAATAAGTATTTATTGCTTAGTATGTGCTAGGAACTATACTAGGTGCTGGAGATAAAAGTACGAAGAATCAAATAATTCCTATATGCAGTGAGCTTTTACTTTAATATAGGAAACCCCAAGTACATATAAAAATCAATACAGCAAAAATTTAAAGTTAATAAAAATACATGTGTATGTGTATACACATAAAATAGTTAAATAGTTGGTAGTTTAGGAGGAGGGCATTAGCAGTTGAGGAATCAGGAAAGGCTTCAGGCAGATGATGATGCCTGAACTGCACCTTAAAGGAAGAGAAGGACTCTGAAGTGGAGGGAAGAGAGGGAGTGTATATATGACAGTCACTGTGCTAAGTGCTAAGGATTCAAAGACTAAAAGGGGAGAACATTCCCTGTTCTCAAGGAGCTTACATTTTAATGGGGCAGATAACATGTATATATGAACATGTATGCTTAAAACATGCATAATGAGTACAAGGGAGTTTGGGAGGGAGGGCACTAACAGCTAAGGGTAACATGAAAGGCTTCATGGGGGGCAGCCATGTGTGGAAACATGGAGACATGAGATGGAATGTTGTCCATGCAGAACATTAAGTAGGCCTGAATGGCTTGACTAAAGAGTGCATGGAAGGAATTAACATATAAGAAAACTGGAAGAGAAGGAACGGCCTGATTGTAAGGAACTCTAAATGCCAAACAGAGGAGTTTATATTTGAACTTAAAGCTAGTGGAGATTGGGGGCTGGGGGGGCGGGGGTCAGAGAGATGGGGAAAGTAACATGAAGAGAGCTGTGATTTTAGGAAAATGTTAAAGTATTTTGTATGGATTTCTCTTTTGCCTTTATCACGTTCTACTTAATTTTACTTGTTTAAAGGTAATTTCCTCCATTATATTGTAAGCTCCATGAGGATAGGGCTGTTTGTTGTTGCTGTTGTTATTATTGTTGTTTTTCATTTTTGTATCTCAGCACCTAACAGTGCTTTGCACATAACAGGTATTAATAATAACAACAATAATAGCTGACATTTGTATGGTACTTTAAGGCTTGCAAAATAGTTTATGTACATTTTCTCATTTGATACTTACAGCAACCCCATAAATTATTATTATCCTTATTGGCTATTAGGTGTTATGGTGGATAGACCACTGAGCTTAGAGTCAGAGAGGCCTGAATTCAAATCTAGCCTCAGAAACCCTGGGCAAATCACTTAACAACTCTGTCTACCTCAGTATCCTCAACTATAAAATGAGAGTAATAATAGCTTCTCAGGGTTGTTCTGAAGATCAAATGAGATAATATTTGTAAAGCATTTAGCATACAGCCTGGCATATAGTAGTGCTAAATAAATGTGTGTTTCCTTCCTTCTTTCCACTGTACAAATGAGAGAATTGAGGGTGAGAGGTTAGGAGACTAACCCAGGGTCACAATATTTGGGGAAGAATTTGAATCAAGCTCTTAAGAGAGACTAAAGGGAAGGGTGGATATAGATGCAAAGATTACCTTTAAGTCATTTTGCTCCTCTTCCTACATATGCTGTTGGAAAGCCACGGTCAATGATTGTAACAGTGAGGCAGCCCTAATTCCTCCTCTACGAAGTGAATTCTGGCTGTTTCCAAACTGAGCAGTATGAGGACAGATAGAGATGCCTTACCATTTTGAGGGAACTGCTTATCCCAGTTGTCATTTCTTCAGTGATGTAGAGCCCTTATTCCATTCTCCATAATCCCTGTATAGCTCAGTTCTGGTTTGGTAGTACCTAGGTTTATGATCTATGCCTAAATAGTAGCATATAATCTGTGCCTAGATACTACCAAATAAATAGATTTTATACCAATATCCATATAGATTATATGCCTAGGTATTATTGTATAAACCAGAGTTTCATATGCCACCACCGTAAGTAGGATATAGTCCTTTAAGTTTCTTCTAAGGCAGTATAATTTAATAGAAAGAATATTGGAGACCTGTTTTCTAGTCTTAGATAAGCCCCTAACTAGCTATGTGACCTTGGAGAAGCCACTAAACCTGTTTAAACTTCAGTTTCTTCATCTGCAAAATGAGATGTTTGGACTAAATGACTTCCAGCATCTCTTCTAGCACTAACATCCTCTGTACTATTAGAGTTTCTACTCTAGTACTAGAGTTTTTACTGTCCCCAGTAGATAATTTGTATATGTAGCTTCACTTATGTGATCATTACCTCACATTATTTTGGAGAATAAAAAATTGAATGTGCTTTGTATCCTGGCACTTAGGACAATACCTTGCACAGAGTAGGAGTTTAATAAAGATTGATTGATTGATTGATTAAGAAGAATATTATTGATTGCTTCAAAAAGAATATAATACACATTAGAAAGATAATAAATATGGGCAGTAAGTTTTAAATGGAAGTGGTGGAGATAGTACAATAAGAAAAAAAGTTAAAATATTTTAAAATAGATTCTTTTATCCTATATTTATAATTCTGTGTCCCTTCTTATTTTTAACTCTCTAAAAATCATGGGAGATTTTGATTAAGTAGAAGAATAAAATTATTAACATAATGAGTAAAAATGAGAGCAAAATTTTTATTTTTAAAATACATATTTTAAATTTTTATTTGTATTTTTTAAAACAATGTGTATACATCTTAATGAATTTAAAAATAACCTTTCTTGCTACAGACTTTATTTAGAGATTTTATGGTAAATGCTAATATAAAATAAACTAAAACACTGTGAATATAAGCCATGTAGTTCTAATACAAATAGCATGGAAACTGATTTTAATACTTTCTGTCCGCAGACAATCAACACTAATTTGCATACGTGTTCAGAAAGACTGCCATTATTTTTTCATTTTAAAATAATAATGGAAATGTGTATTTAATCAGAAAATACATTCCATATACAATTATTTTAATAATTTTTCTTCAGAACTACCTTGCCAGAATTCTAGGATGTTGATTAATGATACATATGAAGTCAAATCACAGAAACATTTTGTAAGATAGAAACTATCTTCAGAATTATAAAAATCAAATGCCCCATAATAACTTCTTAAAATTCTAAAAATTTCTTTTAGAACCTATGGTGATTCCTAGGATGGAGTTCAAGTTACTAGTGTAGGAGTTGGTGAAGATGAGAGTTAAAGTCAAGGAGGGATGGTTGGGAGCTGGTGACCTTTATAGAACACAATTCACCTTTTTATTGAGGGTTTACTTAGGGTAAACATCTGTTAGTAAGGTTACATATATACAGATATATATATACACATACACACACATATGTATGTATGTATGTATAAAAAATATATATATATAAAATTCTATTCTTCCCCCCATTTCTACCCCAGTCTAGGCCACTAGTGTCAAACTCACATAAGAATAGGGGCCACTAAGCCATACATTAAGTATCCTTCTAGGCCTCAGATTGACTTAGAAAATTACATATTAACATTATGTTCTGTTGTATTTTTGTTTTACTAAATCTTTCCCCACTTTAATCTGGTTTTAGTGTCGCTCCTACTGTTGATCAGTATCGATTGGTATGTCTTTTATGTGGCTTACTGATGCCTTCAAGTGTCACTGAGTTGTACCACCACTGCTTTCTTCACTCTTTTCCCCATTCTCATATAAACAGGGAATAGAGGTGTCTTGAGTCTTTAAAGACTTGGAGACATATGACAGCGTTCATTATTATTTTGTGAGTTTGTTTCTGATTGCCTTCAATTACATTTGCTTCTCTATGCTCCTACTGTTACTTCTGATTGTCATTGTCACTGCTGATGATTGTTGTTTTTTTTCCCTTTGATTTTCCTTTTGGCTGTTTTATCCCCTTTCATTTTTCCCATGCTTCTGGCTTTTGCAGGAGGGGAAGAGACTTTTTACAGATATCTCCACACTTTTATATTGCACCTTTCCTTGTATGTAGCAAGTTAAATAATCATGACACATCAGATATAATTTTGACTCATCTTGGCTATCTGCTCCATGTTTTGCCGTCAAAAAGGGGTTTTTCCCTTTAGAATCATAGTTCGTTGATATAGGGCTAGAAGGGCTGTCTGATAGAATTTCATTACTTTACAGAGCAGGAAAATGAGACCTAGAAAGGCTGTGATTTGATCAGAGTCACAAAGGCGACTTGTCAGAAATCCATATCTTAACACAGATCAGCTGAACTCAAACCCAGCGATCTTTGCACTAAATCATATTGTTGATTACTTCCAGTCCTGGAATGTTAATGAGTAATCGAAGATTCCAGCAGGTTCATCGTTTAATAAATGAGGTTTTACTATATGATGATTATAAACTTTACCCATAGACCCTTTGGGAACTCTTCAGTGGTATGCTACAGGTTCCTTGGCCCTAACCTATTCAATATTTCTGTAAATTACTAGGTTATGTAATTAGTAACCTAGAGAGTGTGCCAAAATGCCTTCAACCTAATACCTTGGTTACTGTGACTGTGACTTCTAGCATGTGAAGGCATAAGGACTGTAGTACTGAGAGCAAGGGAAGAGAGGATTGAGATGAATTTTTGAAGCTGGTTTTTAAACACCATGATAGCTAGTTTAATAAAATCTCACAGGAGAGATAGCAGATCACTAATCTCTAGATGTGTTCTAACAGTGAACTAAAGTTAGAGATGCTGTGGCCCCATTTTATATGATTTGAAACTCCTAATTATGTTAAATTACTAATGCAAGATTATGTATCTTACCACTCTTTCTAACCCTAGAAAGTTGATATGCATAAGTAGAATATATCTTTGAATGTAAACTAGCCATAAAGACTACAGGAAAACTTTGTAAACTACTTCTGATTTTAGAAGAATAAATACTGAATGTGCATGTTATTTATTTTTGATCCCTTTTTTCTTTTTGTTTAAGAAAGTTTGGATGGCTCCTCTGAAACCAAACTACAAATCTGTATTGAACCAAAACCCCAAAAGTTGAGACCAGGCAGCACATTGGTTCTACAGTGTGTGGCTATTGGAAGCCCTATTCCTCATTATCAGTGGTTCAGAAATGGATTTCCAATAACACATGAGACAAAAAAGTTATATATGGTAAGGAAATGATATTTGGAAAATATAACTATTTTAGTAAACAGTTTATTGCATGTTACATGAGAATAAAATTATGTGTATATGCTTTCTTGGTTTTAAAGATATTTTAATACCCTGCCTCTAATATCTCATAATTATTATTGTTGAATACTTTTTGATTCTTACATATGGCTGCACTTGGATACCAAAACTTTTCCAAGGTGTATAGTCAGAATATTAAATAATATAGTTTTATATCAGCCCCACTTTTTTGTCATTTACTGGCTCATAACAAACTTAATGAAATGTAACAAAGCTTATCCAGAAATTTGTGAAATTACCTAATCTTGTTAGAGAATTACTTTTGTTCCTTTTTTTGGTAGTTATTGGTTTGTTCTAATTAAGTCTAAAATTAAGGAGCTATTTTTTGTGTCCTTTTGTTTATATAGGTGCCTTATGTCGATTTGGAGCATCAGGGAACCTATTGGTGTCATGTATATAATGACCATGACAATCAAGACAGCAAGAAAGTAGAAATCATCGTAGGTGAGCAATACTGTTTTGATCATTGCAAAAATACAAGTTGTAAGATTAGGCTCATCTGCACTTAAATAACTAGAATTCTTCAAAGCAATTTTCTTTTCCTTTAAATATAACTAGACTATTGAATTGGTTTCACATAATTACATTTTATTTTTTGGAGGCAAAGTTTTACTTCAGATTTTATTATATTAACACAGGCATCCAAATAAAAGTCCAGTTTTTTGCCCAGGTCAGTTTTCCCATGTCTTATGTATATGGAAGGTTTTGTGTTTTTTTGTTTGTTTGTTTTTTGTTAAACTTAATCCCAAGGAAAAAAGGATATGCACCTGAACTCGTTATCTTTCCCCCTAAACTCTCCCCTCTTAAAAACTTAACTGTTTCTGTAGAAGTCACCATCATCCTTTCATTGTCTCAGGTTCATAATCTCAGCATTACCCTGGACACCTTACTGTTTCTCATTGCATAACTGACCTTTTCCTTCTGTTCACACAGCTACCACCTTAGGCTCTCATCACTTCTCACCTAAAATATTTCAGCAGTCCCTTAAATGGTCCCCACGTCTGAAGTTTCTCATAACTCCAATCTACCCTACACACTGCTACCAATGTGATTTTCCTTAAGAACCAATTGGAGCATGTGATATTTATTTAGCTAGCTCCAGTGGCTTCCTCTGGCCTATAGGATAACCAAGAAACTCTTCTGTTTAGCTCTTAAAGCCCTGTATAACCTAGCCCTAACCTATCTTTCCAGTCTTGTTGGACATTGCTTCACCCTTCCACACTCTACAGTCTTGCCAACCTGGTCACTCTGTTTTCCTTATACACAACATTACATCTGTTTCTCCATACTTTTGCACTGGTTATTCTCCATGCCTGGAATGCACTCCCTCTTCATCTCCTCAGAGTCCCTCTCTTTCTGTAAGATGCAGTTCAAAAGCAACATCTGCATGAAGCCTTCCTGATCCACCATACTGCTAGAGTCTTCCCTCCCAAATTACCTTGTATGTAACTACTTTATACATATTTGTATTTGTTAATTTAATATTTGTGCTGTTGTGAATTTGTATATGTACTTCAGGTCTCCTCCAATGTAAGCTTATTGCACAGGATTCATGTCAATTAACCAATAAGTATTAAACACCTAGTATGTGCCAGGAAGCTAGGTGTCAAAGAGGATAGAGAGCTAAACCCAGAGTCGGGAAGACCTGAGTTCAAATTTAATAGCTATGTAACCCTGGGCAAATTATTTTAACATCTGTCCGCCTTAGTTTCCTCATCTGTAAAATGAGGATAATACTGGCACCTATTTCCCAGTGTTGTGGTGAGGATAAAATGAAATAATATTTAAAAAGCACTTTACAAACCTTAAAGTGCTTCATAAGTGCTCTTTGTTACTACTGCTACTATTACTACTACTACTACTACATCTAGCAATTATTTCATTCTTTGAACTTATATCTCCAGCACCTACCATGGTGCCTGGTACATAGTAGGTACTTAATTAATTCTTATTGGTTATTGATTGATATGAATCTTTTGAGCTTCATTTAATTCCTCCTTTTCTGGCAACTAATGAGATACCTGATAAAGCCTTTGTGAATAATTTCTAGATGAAGTAATTGTGGCCTGGTACTCAATTATGATATCTTCCATTTGTTCTCATTGGTTGGTTACCTGTTAGATTTAGAGGATTGTTGGCTTTTGTTGTTGAAATTAAATAATATCTTTAAGGTGTTCTGTTTTCTGAGTATTACATACTAAGTTCAAAGCCAGTTATACAGATGGAAAAACAGTGAAAAGAATTGAAAAAGATATATATGAGGATACATATACTATATATGTATGTGTTACTTATGTGTATGTAGGTATGTATATATAGAGAGAGCTCTCTGTTTCAAGTTTTAGCATATAAATTTATATAAAATAGAAAAATATTTTAAATGGAGAATTTTTAATGAAAGTGCTATGGTAAGGTAAAGGAAAGCTCTGTTTAGATATCAAGGTTCCATTGTGATTTATGTACTTTTGTAGCCCTATTTTCTATATATTCATAGAAAATATTAACACTAAATGTTGACATTTAATATGTTGGTTTAACAAAAACAACTTCTGTAGTATTTATATTTTTGTGTACTTAATTCTTGCCCTTCCTAAAAACATGAATTACAATACATTCAAATTTGTTTTTTCTAAAACAAGGAAGAACAGATGAGGCAGTGGAATGCACTGAAGGTAGTATAATGCCGTGGTTGTGAAAGTTAAATATTCTGCTTGCTGATTGCTGTTGGCATTGGTTTATCTGTAGATATACTGTGAGTGCAGTGACAGAAAAAAATACTAGCTACAAGTGGGTTAATCAAGTATTAAATATTTTGATTTAAGGATGTTCCGTGTTTATTTCCAGTTCTTATTGGTTTTCAAAATTTTATAAACTGTTCAAAACATTGTGACTCTGATGTTACAGTGCCATTCATGCAGTAATTTAATTTTTAGTATACAAGTAATTTTCCTAAGTGAATGGCATGAGTTGCAAGGGTTTTCTTGAAGTTTTTATACCCTTAATATTAAAAGACCCTAAGATGATAGAAGGATCTCTTTTCCTAAACACTTGTTTAGTTTCTTTTATGTCTTTCTCCTATAATAATATGCCTCTGAAATGGAAATATTTCTCGGATGTCATATTTAAAGTTTATGGTGGAGACAGCTGGGTGACCCAGTGGATAGAGCATCTGGAGTCAGGAGGACCTGAGTTCAAATCCGGCCTCAGACACTTGACACTTAATAGCTGTGTGACTCTGGGCAAGTCACTTAACCCAAATTGCCTTGCTTGCAGCAAAATAAAAAGACAGTTTGTGGTCATAGGTGTCTGGTTAAACAGTATTAAGTATGCTTTTAAAATGTAAATTAATAGATTCCCTAGTTATTTTTATAAGTAAAACCCTTTAAAATAATCTAAAGTATCACCTTTTGTCTTGTACAATTTGAGAATAAAGGATTTTAAACTTTCTTTTTGAACTAAACAAAAAAAGTATTTAAACAAATATTTTACTTTAATTGCAGTCATTAAATTTAAAACCTACACTATTATTCTTTAGCATAGTGCCGTTTTATTAGAAAAATGTGGTTTAGTTTTAGCAAGTATTTTTTTCAGTTCCTGCCTCTCAAACTTACATAGAGTTGTTAGAATCTACTAAGGTATACTAAGAAAAGCTTAATCACTTCTTTGTTTTCTGGGTTTCCTACTGATCTAATTCCTCTCCATAATACTTCTTATTGGAATGTTATTTCCCTTTTCTAAGCCTAATCATGGTTATAATTCTTTGGAGTCTTAATGCCTGATGACATAAAATCCTTGTCTCTAAGTCACAGTTTGTGAACTATGATCCCCTAGCACCTGAAAAGATCCTCAACTGAGTCATTAAATGTTCATTATCCAGGGAAGAAGCTTTGAAGTTATCCTGACAGACTCTCATCCAAAAGCATTTATTAATTGATGAATTGCATGATTTCTAGAATTTACTAATTAATATAGTTGGCCTTCTAAAATTAATTCTAACATGCTTAATAACAGTTTCAAAAGCCTTCTGTGATGTAAACTAGTTATTGTCTTCCATATAAATTGATCCACCTAAACAATCATCTTGCTCTGCTTCCCTTTTTATTGAATTCTTTTTAATACAATTTGGTCTTTAGTCAATGCCTATACTATAAATAATATGAGTAGTCAATGTATGTACAATATGTATACTTTCGTCTGTGATCTCATCAATGTGGGTACTCCCTCCAAAGATGCCCTTCTTTACCTTCTTATCCTGTGCTGTTCTGTCCATGTCCTTGTATGAATCCTATAAACAATAACTTTACAAAAAGTTATTTAAAAAGTTCTGAGGATGACATAATATAAAATTATACCCAAAATGTCAGTAGAAAAGTTAGGGTCCAATTTTTCTTCCCAAAATAAAGTTTGACTTAAAAGTTTTTTTAAAATAATTGATGGTTAGAAATATTATGAACAATATATTATAGTTACAGTATACTTTATCATATTTATTTTTACCCACAGAATGTGTGCATACTCTATGTTTCATGTTATGCATTTCATTAAAGACCATTTGTTATTCAGTTTGGACTATTATTAAATCATTTTTGAAATCATGTTTCCTGTCCTAGAATTATAGATTTAGAACTGGAAGAGATCTCATAGGTCATCTCCCGTCATTTTACAGAAAGGGAAACTAATTCTTGGAGAGGTTGTGGGTTCCCCAAGGTCACACAATTAACAAGTGTCTGAGGTGAGATTTAAACCCAAGTCTTCTTACTCTAGAGCTAGTCAGCGCTTTTTCCGTGGTACCATACTGCCTTCAAATCAGTGGTGATCCAGTAAACAAACTTGCTCTTCCATTCTTTCAGTGAAAAGAATGATATTTGGAGCCAGAAGACCTGGATTTGATTCCCCACTCTGCCACTTGTTAGCCATGTAACCTTAGGCAAATCATTGAACTTCTGTGGGCTTCAATTTCCTTATATACAAAATGAAAGTGTCGAACCATATGATCTCAGGAGGCCCTTCTAGCTATAATTCTGTGATCATGTGACCCTCCCAAATCTGCCCATCAAAATCTCTTATAAAAATGTTTTCTGTACTTAATTGACAAACATTGAGAAAACTGTGAAATTCAAGAAAAAAGCAATCATTGGTTAGAAATCACAGATGGCATCAACAGGACATATTCTTTCTCCCTCTTTAAGTATCTCAGTTCCTCACATGTGCATCCTTCGAAAGTTCTGTGCTAAGAATTATATAGCTTCTTTTTTAGAATCTACTTTCCTTGATTAGATTTAACTTGGTGCAATATTGATAAAATGACAATAAAGTTAACCTGGTTTCTTTAATTTCATTATAGATGAATTAAATAATCTTGGGCATCCTGGTAAGTAGTACAAATGCAGAACACTATTAACTTCAATTATTTAATGTGTAGAATTCCTGATTTAAAATATACAGTATAGATTTTTTTTCTTTTTCAGTCTTATTTTAATTGATATCTTTTGTCTTTATATCACCTTCATTTCTAAATATATCTCTTCCTTATCTAAAAAAAATCCCTTATAAGAAAGATTTTAAAAGAAAGTTTTAAAATGTTGTTTAGCAAAACCAACAAACACATCAACCATGCTACTTTGTAGAATTTTTTAAGGAGGCTTCAACCTTGGGAGACCCCCTCTCCATGAATACAGATGCAACTCAGTACTTAATCCTAAAAAGTTGCCTGGCTTGAGTGGTGGCCTGCCACCAGCGAGGCTGCAGCTGGTGCATCTCAGGAGTTCTGAGCAGCAGTAGGCTGAGCTGATCTGGGGTCCACATTAAGTTTGATGGTTAATAGGGTGAGGCCCTGGATGTAGGGAGCTACCAGTTGCCCAAGAAGTGGAGAACCAGTGGTCATAGGTTGGAAAAACAGGTAGGTCAGTGCTCTCGTGCTGATTAAAGTGAGGTTAAGTCTGTGAGTAACCTCTGGCCTTCTAGACTGTTTGAGACAGGCCGACTTAGTCTCAGAAAAAGAAAGAGAGGGAGATGGGAGGGGAGGAAAAAAAGTCTGGATCACTGAGAGATTAAGTGACTTGCTCATAATCACACAGCTAGTAGGTATCAGAGAAAAGATTTCTGACTCCAAGGCCAGCTTTCTTATCCACTATGTAATGCCAGGTTTATATAAATTTCCTTTAATGCCAGCTTGAAATTGTTCTAAAATATCTAAGTGACAGAAATGGCTATAAAATATAGCTTAATATTATGAAAACCTTTGTTAGTATTCAGAATCCTGAAACTATAGGAAAGGGGTAGGGGATCTGAGGCCTTGAGACCACATGTGGCCTTCTGGGTCCTTGGGTGTGGTCTTTTGACTGAGTCCAAGTTTTACAGAACAAATCCTTTTATTAAGGGGATTTGTTCTGTGAAGTTTGGATTCAGTCAGAGGGCCACACTTGAAGATGTAGAGGGCCACTTGTGGCCTCGAGGCTGCAGGTTCCCCATCCCTGCTATATGAAATAAAGGAATTTTTAGGTAATCTATGTGTTGTGAAAAGTACTGGCACTTTAAGCAGGACAGTTTGATAACAAGATATTGTCTAGAGTATTGGACTTGGCATCAGGAAGACTTGGGTTCAAATCCCGTTTCTAATACGTAGTAGCTGGGCAAGTCATTAAGCTTCTCTGAACCTCACTTTCCTCATCTGCAAAATAAGAAGGTTAATGACCTCTAACCTCCCTTATAGCTCTAAATCTATGAACCCTCATTTTAATAACAATAGTTGACATCTGATATTAATAACAGTGCTTTAATGTTTGCATATCCCTTTAGATAAATTATTTCATTTGATCATTTTAACAACCCTACCAGGTATGTGCTACAGATGAGAAATTTGAAACAGAGAGAGCTTACATGATCTACCCAGGTTTATAAAGCTGCTAAATATTTGAGGTAAGACCTCAAGTCTTCCTAACTCCAAGGCCAGTGTTTTAGCTATGATACTGCCAGAAGAAAATAACTCCAGCCATACTAGGCTTCTTTGGAGCAGAAGTTGTCTTTATCTCAGTTGAACAGTCAAGTAGAGAACATTCCTGAACTGACTTGATAGAGAACACTCCTATTAAGTGACTATCCAGCTATGTTTGGGTCAGAGAGGGTAGTTCTCTGAATGCCTAGTTAGTTGAAGATATATACCTGAAGCAGCTTGACTTAATGAGTTCTCTATCTGAGGCAAAAGGTGATTTAGTGAGGCCAGCTAACAAATAGCACCGTTGAGTGTATGCTTTTGTCATGGTCCCTCAGAAAAGAACTGAAACTAAGCCTGTAAAATTGTGTTAGGAAACTGAACATGAGATTAGACAAAATAGACCAATATATCATTAAGTATTGAGAAGTTTCCTCTTTAAGTTTGCTGTAGAGAATATAGAGGGTTTCCCAAAAAATATTAGAGCAGTTTTGAGCTACTAGAGCTTAAATCTGTTCTAAGACTTTTGGGACACACTGTATTTCTCAGTGATTATGTATTGTAATTAATTTTTAATCACCAGGACTGACTTCAGATCTAGGTGGTGAGGAACTATCATAGTAATATCTTCAATTATTTCCTAACTTTTACAATCAGGAAGCTTTCTTATTGAGTACTCTAAATTCCCTTTACTTCTCTTTATTTGCTTCTTTTTCTGTCATTAGTGGACACAGAGAAAATCTGTTTACTATAATTCTATTCTTTATCTATTCTTTCATGTAGGAATTGAAATTTATTGATGTCTCCCTGCCCCCCACCAAACCCTGTAACAGAGCATTACGTTTAATTTTTTTTTTCATCTACCAAGCTTCCTAGTAGAAATACATTGTGTCTCCAACTGGAACCATGTATTCTATTACAGAAATTCAGTCATAATTCTAGAACTGGAAGTTACTTCAGAGGCCATCTAGTCCAGCTCTCATTTTACAGAGAAACAGAACCAGGGAGGTTATGTGATCTAACCATTGTCACACAGAAACTCTTGACTATTGTGGATGCTTCCATAAATGAAAAATTAAAAAGAGTTCATATTCTCAAAATATATCTACCGTTGTTAAGAAATTTTAAAAAAAATTTGTGGGGACCACATGGGGACAAACTACAGATGTTTCACTGATACAAAACAAGTGTAAGTGCTGTGAGGAGGAGGCCAGAAGAGTAGAAATCATTTTGACCACCAAACACTTGATCTCCTTGCAAAGCAATGACAGGACAGCCAAGGACATCTTATTGTAATAGGTTATGAGTAGTATTACCTCATAGAACAGTGAAGTAATAGAGGAGGAAATAGATTTACAGAAAATGTAGTGAAAGACCCAATTAAATGAGGCCTTCCTAAGCAGTTATGAAACCAAAAACAACATACCACTCAGATTCTACAACAAACTTCTCAATCAGTATTAGCTAAACCACACACTTGAACTATAACATCACAATCATAGATTTCTCCATGAGGAAGTAGAAATAATGTTAAAGAAAGCAAAGGTGGTAAGAGCAACTTCACAAGATAAATTGTACACAGAGGGGATCCTTATTGGTCACAATTTTTGAGGGCATTCAGTAAGGGATCAATCATCAAGGTATTTTAAAATGAGAAAGAAATGATTGGGGGAAAAATCATTGATGTTAACTACTAGTGAAAAAGGTAATTGTGAAGCTGTCAGTCACTACTGACATGCTTACATTTTACAAAATCATTAATTATTATAGTAATTTTACAGACTTATCAAGGACTTTCTTTATGAAAACTCAGGGACAAAACAGGCAAGCTTTCACATATGATATTTTATAGCAGACCGCATCTTTATGTAGTTACATAATTGACTAAATAGCATAGAGACTACAGGATTTCATTGTGCTTGTTGTGACTGTAGGAAAGCAATTTGATAGAGCAAAATGAAGCTTTAAAGGCTATGCTCCAAGATACAATGTGTCTTTAATGCATGTGTTAAGGTCATGTGAGATTCTTCGATAGATTCAACAGAGCTAACTCTGGCCATCTTTTTAATATCAGACGGGTCATAAGATCATAGATTTAGAGCAGGAAGGGAGCTCAGATCTCCTGACCTATTCCCCTCATTTACAAGTGAGGAAGCTGAGCTGCGAAGAGGTTAAGCAACGTACATAGAATGGAGATATGTTCTCATCAAAGGTATTTGCCATGGTCATGGTAAACATTTAGCACAAAATCCAAATAGCATATTCCCTATAGATGATATGTTCCTATAGATGCTCCTGTTTGTAAATGACATTTTGATGATTGAATCAAGCTCCAGAAGATTGCAGGAGCAGCTAGGTGGCGTCATAGTGCACAGAGTGTCAGGCCTGGAGTCAGGAAGACATTTTCCAAAGTTCAAATCTGGCCTCAGACATTAACTAGCTGTGTGACTATGGGCAAGTCACTTAACCCTGTTTGCCTCTGTTTTCTCATCTGCAAAATGAGCTAGAGAAAGAAATGGCGAACCCTTTCACTGTCTCTGCCAAGAAAACCCAGAAGAGCCAGATATGACTGGAAAATGACTAAACAGCAACAAAGCCAAAAGATTGCAGAGCCTCTCAGATGAAATCTGAAGTGACTCAGAAGTTTCACCTATCATGCATAAAAATAGTAGATGAAATGTATTATCCAGATATGCATTATTAGTTCATCAGTACAATATAACTTGTTTATATTCTAAAGTTGAACAGTGAACTGGACCCAGAATTAAAAAGAAGGAAGAGTGGGTTTAATTGCATTTGGAAAATTGCACATTTAAAATTTTCTCCAACTCCTTGAAAATTAGAATTGGCCAAATGGAAGCTAATGACTCTCTCTCTATATATATATATATAAAATGACATCAAGAAATGATAAAACAAAATTCAAAAGTTCGAAAAAGTAAAAGAAAATGTGAAATAATTTCTCATAGGAAAAACAACTTATCGAAGAGAGCATTTAAGAATAATTGGATGACCTGAAAGCCATGAAAAGAAAGAGAGACACTAGACATCATATTTCAAAGAAAACTGCCCATCTTATCTTAGAACCAGAAGGTAAAGTAGAAATTGGAAGGATACACTGGTCACCTCCTGAAAGAAATCCTAAGATGAAAACTCCCAAGAATAATACACTTAAAATCAAGTGCTCCCTGGTCAAGAAAAAAAATACAGCAAACAGCCAGGAAAAAAAATTCCAGTACTGCAGAGCCACAGTCAGGATTACACCAGGTTTAGCAGCCACTACTAAAAAGGAACAGAGAACTTGGAATATGATATTCTGGAAGGCAAAGGATCTAGTCTTACAACTAAGAATAGCCTACTAAGCAAAACAGTATAATGCTAAAGATGGAAAAATGGACCTTTAATTAGGGGGGACTTCTAAACATTCCTGATAAAAAGAC